ATTCGAATTATCTAAATTCGGATTAATCCTGTAGTGTAGACATACCCCGAGTGTCAGCTGGAATTCGCTGCAGCTAGGGCTTGTCACAGGCCTGGTCGCGCGCCCCCTGCTGGACACTCACCAAGCTGCTGTGTTGGGGGGTGGTCGGTCCCCCACTGGGCCCATGTGTCTCGAAGTTTCCCTGGCTCTGGGTAGGCCCGCCTCTGTCCCTTTCTTTGGCCTCTCTGGCACATTTCCTGGGCACAAACTGTCAGTTACCCCTTTACAGAAGCAGGACCCAAGGGTGCAGCTGCCACAGGCTCCCAGAGGGCAACTTGGGGGCTAATAAATGTCACACCCTAAAGCCAAGGAGAGGCCATCAACAGCCTGGTACAAACTGGGATGGGAATCAGGCAGCCCCACCTGCTGCACCAAAGTCTGTTTATCCTCATTGCCTCGTGCCCTGCATGGCGGTGAGCACTCTGCTCCTTGCAGGGAAGGGGATGGGGACTGAGAGGTGTCCAGTTCTCTCTCCAGCAGGCTGACGGGGCTGGAGATGAGCTTCTAGGAGAGAAGAGGTGGCACTCAGGAGGGCGGCGGAAGTGGTTCTTGTACCAGCAAGGGGCCCCAACCCACATAGCTCTGTGGCTCCCTTTACCCAGCACTGAAGTCTTTACAAGATTTGAAGGCAGCAGATCCCCCCCCCCCATGAATACCGCTGGGTAAGGGGCTCCCCAGCTGGCTTAGTGCAGGCAGGCCAGCTCTATGCCAGCCCCCATCATGTCAGTTTAGCTAATAGCCAGAGCACGGTATGTTCAAGGCACCCTATGGGCCTGGCTTATGGCAAGGACATGCTGTGCTCTGGCTATTCTCAGATAGGCATTTGCCCCTTAGCAACCAGAGTCAGATGAGAGCAGCCACCCTGCTAAGCTCCTTCCTGCGCTTGGTGCACCTTCACCGGCCTGCAGCCTAGGTCCCATGCCCTCCCTGCTTGCAAGCAGCCTTGGACAACCAAGTGTGTTGCCCAGGAGCCTTTCCTAGATGGTTCTGCAAGGCGGCAAGAGTACTTGCTGAGAACAGCGCTCGAGACTCGCAGGATTCAGTGGTTTCTTAACGGCCCAGCTCCCAGAGTTCTCTGCTTTCTGGAGAAACTCCGCTTTCACTGAAAGAACAAGGCCCTTTCCAGCCCTTGGTGTCCCAGAGAAAAGCTGGGAAACGTAACTTCTAGAAGTTCAGATGCCGGAAGGCAAAGAAATGAGTCCCAGCTTATCAGAGGGTCGCGCACTTCATTGTTCCTGCAGGCCGAGCTCTATGTGTTCTCCAGCTTGCAAGTGGAGTCCAGGTTTGGGTGGGGGGGGGAACCTGGCTAGAGTTGGGGTGAGTGGCCTGGCTGAGGGAGCTGGCCCAGTTGGGGTCAGGGCCCTGGGGAAATCACAGCTAAACCAGCTTTCACCTAGGGGATGCTGGCCATTTCTGCTGGTGGGGGATGCATCTGGGATGTGAGCTGCAGAGGACTGTCGCAGGGAGATCGTGTGTGTTGGTTTCAGTCCCACCCATTTCAGGGGCAGGAAGCTCTAGTTAAATAGGTTGGGAGGGCAATGTAGCCCCAGGTGGGTTTAACATGTCTCCCAGCATCCGCAGCCCTAGTGAAGGCAGAGTGTAGTGAAGAGAGGCCCATGCAGCTATAAGGGGATGGTCTCTCCCTGGTGGGGCAGCGTGGAGTGATTGACACGGGGCAGCGGCCTGCATGTCCCTTCGCCTGGCACTGCAGAAGTCTCCCTCGGGCTTGGTGCCCCTGCCCCCGAGTGACGGGTTGCCCTCTGCCTGGCAGAGGAAAGCGACACGCTGGCCGAGAAGGAGGTCCCAGCCAGCCTCACCCAGATCCAGAGCAAGTACGCCTACTTCCGGCCCTGCATTCAGACCGAGCTGGAGCATGACGACCCCAAGAGCGTCCGTGAGATCTTCCTGCAAGGTGAGGGGCTCAGCTCACTCCAAATAGCCCCCTCAGCACTGTAAAACAGGAAGGGGGAGTGGGGGGAGCCTGATTCAAACCGGGCGCTGGCAGTAATTCGGGGGCACTGCCCGCGCCGCCTCTCTCGTCAAAGGCTTTCTGAAAGTCCAAGCAAACTATCCACTGGATCACCCTTGTCCACATGCTCGTTGACCCTCTCAAAGATTTCCAATAGATTGGTGAGGCTTGATTGCCCTTCACAAGAGCCGTCTTCGTCGCTGTGTTTGTTATTTCTGTTACCAAAGTTGTAACCAATTTGCCTGGTACTGAAGTTAGGCCTGTAATTGCTACGATCGCCTCCGGAGCCTTTTATAAAAACCGTAGGCCATACAAGAACCCAGACAGCTAGCCATGCCGTTACGAACTGGCCGGGGAGCCAACGGCAGTTGAGAGCAGGGGTGAGGGATCGCATTCTGGCTGGTTTTCTCTTCTGTATAACCAACTCCATCTGTTTTCTCTCTGGCAGGTTGGAAAATTGAAGAGAAGATGCTGGGTGTTTTCAGCAAGTGTCTGCCCGCCCTTGCCAACCTGCAGGCTGTTCAGTGAGTGAGGGGCTGGGCAGTGCCAGGAGCTGTTTGGCTGAAAGGGCTCAGAGATGGGCAAGGAAAATACAGCGGGATTTCAGTTCTCTAAACCCTCAGTATCCAAACCTCCCTCTAAGGTGTTTTGCTGCCTCCCAGTGCATTGGCTCTTGCCTCTCTGAGAGCCTGATCTTGGTGTCCTCCAAGTTGGTTGGATAATTGGGACGCTGGACCTAGAATCAATCTGGGGACCTGCTAGCTCTTTAAGACCAATAGTTAGTTTGGGGGCTCCAGAACGCTGGGTGCTGGGAAACACCTGCATTAGCTTTTGAAGAGCAGATATTGGTGAAGGGGTTTGAGCATGGGCCTGGGAGCCAGGGGGCCTGACTTTGAGGCCTGGCTCTGCCCTTGACTCACTTTGTGACCTTGGGCAACTCCTTTCCCCTCCCTGTGCCTCAGTTTCCCCATCTGGGGATGAGAATGCTTTGCAATCTCTCTTATTGAGTTAATGCTGTTGCTAAGGCTACCCTGTCTCTCTTCTTTCAGCCTCTGGAAGGTCGGCCTGACGGATCTCTCGCTCCTCTCTCTGATCGCTATCCTACCAAACTGCCCCACCCTCAAGTAAGCGAGAGCTAAGCCGCGGGGATGGGGGCGCTCAGACAGTGCTGGAGGCAGCTGCTTCCATCTCAGAAAGGGGACCCCATTCAATGTAACCATCCTTGAAGGAGCCAGTGAGATGGGACCTAAAGGCGGTGCTTTGTCAAGCTCATTGACAATCCCATGGTACTCTGTGCCAGAGCAGAACCGCCAACTCCACTGTCCTGCCCAAAGCCCTAGCGCGGTGCCTGCTGCCTACCTCAAATTCCCGCCACCTTTTCAGTGGGGTACAGTATTCTTCACTTTCCCTTCCAGGCTGTTGTGTAGTGTTTCTTTGTCGCTGTGAAGCAGCTGCCGTGTTCCACTCCAGAGGTGGCTGCATGTCTGCAGGCCAAGTGACTTCTATAGCACCTTGGTTAGTTTCTGCTTTTCCCTGCAGGACACTAACACTGGAGGGGAACCCGTTAGCCGAGGGGTCCTTCTACAGGCTGATTGGAGAGGAGAGCACGTGAGTTCCTTCCGAATCGGAGACCCAGGGGTCCCGGGGAGTGCGTGCTAGTTAATCTGCTTGGGGCAGATACCGTGTTGGGGGAGGGAAGGGAAATTCCAGACCACTGCATCTGCTCTGGGGGCGATGGGCGGGATCCTGGGGGATACTCCTAGGAGGGAGGTCCCACTGTGGAGGAGGGCTGAGGATCACTGGGCGGGATGGGACTCTCATAAACAAAGTCCTCGGCCCGTCGGCAAGGTGCCCGCACAGAGTCCAGCACATAGTGTGCGGATTCCTTCCCTCCTACCCTTCCACGCTCCAGGCAGAGCGTGGCTGGGATCGCTCCCGCCTGCTTCAAGGCTCAGTCCTGGAGCCCCCTCCCCACTCCCAGGGCGTCTCTTTCCCTTCCCAGAGAGCAGGACAGTCCAACCAGACCCGATCGGAAACTCTCACCAACGCCCCTCCAGGCTGGCTCACGTGTCGCTGAGAAACAATAACATCGGTGACGCCGACGCCAAGCTGATTGGCCAAGCCCTCTCCACGCTGAAGTCCTCCAACAAGATCTTGGTCTCGCTGACCCTCAGCTTCAATCACATCTCGGACCTGGGGGCAGGCTACATCGCGGAGGTGAGGGGTGAGAGAGCGCGACTGGCTGCATTGGGGCATGAGCATTATAGAGGGACAGCTGTTCTCCGAAGTGAGGGACAGTGGCCTTGTGGTTAAGGCACTGCCCTGGAGGCCTGGCTTCAAATCCTAGCCTTGCCACTAGGTTATTTTTTCAACCAGTTTAAGTCCAGCTCTCTCATGTAGACGGGAACAGACCCCTGGGGGAGCCTTAATAGCGGAGGCTGTGAAGGGAAGCCGAAGAGATGGAACTGTACAGACTGGGGCTTTGCGTGTTCTCCTGCCAATCCAGTCTAGCTGGATCCAGTACTCAAAGTCCACCCGCTACATAGCCCGGGGCGTTCCCAGCCCCCAGCTCAGGATGAGCCCAGGTGGTGAGCTCCCAGCAGGATGGGTTGGGCCATGGAAAGACTGAACTCCCCTTGGGCACAGGAACTGGGCCAGCGGCAGGAGGAGCTGGTGACGAGAAGCCAGCCCAGCCAGATGGAGGGTCCAGTGTCCAGGGCTGTCACTGCTCATGGCTGACTGTTCTTTTCCTTCCCTTGCCTGTCTGCATCCTGCCGCCGCCCCCCGGGGCCTGTCCAGGGCTTGCGGTTGAATCGCTCTCTACTGTGCCTGTCTCTGGCACACAATCAGATCGGAGACCAGGGAGCGCTCAAGCTCGCAGAGGTGCGTCCAGGGAGAGTCCTTTGCTCTTCAGCCCAGGGGATGGATTTACCCTTGAAAAAACTTCTTCGCCCGGCCCAGTGTCCTCCCTTTGCAGCTATTAGCCAGGCTGGGCAGGGATGGTGTCCCTAGCCTCTGTTTGCCAGAAGCTGGGAATGGGCAACAGGGGATGGATCACTTGATGATCACCTGGTCTGTTCATTCCCTCTGGGGCACCTGGCATTGGCCACTGTCAGAAGACAGGGTACGGGCTAGATGGACCTTTGGTCTGACCCAGTCTGGCCGTTCTTATGAGGAACATCTAGTGGGCTTGGAGGGCTCTATGGAGGACTCCGAGTTGTGGATCTGGAGCTCTCTCACCAAAGGAACAGGGGTGACGGCTCTTTAACTAAAGAGTTTTTCTCCCAGCCATTAAAAGGCATTTGAGTTGAATGCACATTAACAGAGAGAGCTTGAATCAGTCTGAATCAAAATCCCATCCTCTCCCCGCTAACCAGGATCCCTGGCACAGCGCCGCCCGTCTCCTGAACTCCCAGCTCTCCATAGAGTCAGCGAGGGAGAGAAACTAGCTGAATTTCTAACGTGTAAAATGTCTTCATCCGTCACAAAAGAGCAGCAGCGCAGCTCTTCTCCCCATCTCCAGCTCTCCTCTAGCGCAGGCCAGGCCTGACCTGCACCAGGCCTTGATCCTGCAGCGGGGAGTTCCAGAGCTAATCCCTGCTGCCCAGCCCCTCCCCCCCCCCGGTGTGAATGACCGAAACGCTCCACGGGACGCACTAGCACATCCCTTTGAGGGAGCAGGTCCTGAGCTCGGAAATTTGGGACCTGATCCCGAGGGACGGAGCATGCTTATCAGGCACCCAGCACCTCTCTGGCTCAGGCCGTTGTAACGTCTGCAAGCTCTGGCGTGGTCAGAGAAGTGCCGAGGCCCTGGGCTGCCCCCTCTGTGGGGTGGAGGAGGGGGAATTAAGCTATTGTGACCAAGAAAGACTGAGCAGCACTGACTCCGCCATTGCTTTGGGTTAGGTTCTGGGACCTTTCGCTTTAACTCACACCGAAGTCGTGGAGAGGAGGCGACTTTTACTGGAGAAGGAATCCCAGGAGCGGTCCCGGTCGGTAAGGCTACTGCCAGGCCATGCGCACCCACCAGAGGGCGACAGATCAATTCACTTTGGGGGGGGGTGTTAGCGACTGACCTCTTTCCCGCAGCGGTAGGCCAAACGTTGCTATAAACCCAGAGCTCCATGGAATCAGGTCGCTGAGGGTAACAAGATTTACCCTGGTGTGTGCTGTATTCCCCTCTACTTTCTGAGCCACCTGAAGGATAACCACCTACTACTGCTGCCACCTAGTGGCATCACTCCTTTAGCTCACATTGTTGAGGATCTGAGAGTCCCTGGTTCTAAGCTAGTTCACACCCCATGCTAGGAGGTGCTACAGTTAGCGCTGCCTAGGGTCCTAAAGGTAGCAAATGTAGAGTAGCCCGTGGTGTCCGAATCTCTGTTAAAATCCCTCTGGGTCTGGGTTCCAGCCTCTGAGACATGCAGATGCCAAAAGCAGCGAGCGTCCCTCCAGCCTCGTCAGCAACACCACCATCGACAAGCTGCAGGCGGCCAAGCAGAGCAAGAGCGGGTCCAAGAAAAAGGTGAGGAGTGCGGGCTGAACCGAGCAGGACGGCTTCCACGCAGCCCTTCCCAGGAACGCTGAGATCCAGGCATGTCCAACCGGCCTGGGAGCCAGGGGTTAACCCCACAGCGAGCCGCTCCCAAAGATCCGCTTCTTCGGAAGGATCGGGGGATCGCAGCGGCCAGGACCTGCAAGGAAAAGGAGGGGGCTTTGGAGCCGGGGAGTGGCTCTCAGGACTCCTGGGTTCTCATTTCATTTCTGAAGGGGGCGTGTGAGCTCGTGGCTAGAGCAGAAACTTGGGGGTCCATCCTTCAAACAGGGTTCATGCGGGGGTGGGGGCGTGCAAGGCTGGTGGTTTACCCGCTTGGGCCAGAGAAGGGCCGAAAGCGAAGTGGAGTCAAGCCTGGAGGGGACTTGGCAAACAGCGACAGATATTAGAGCTGCCGAACCTGCCTGTCAGCGCCCCCTTCAGGCCTGTGCTACTCCTTACAGGAGCCTTCGAAGAAAGAGGAGAAAGCTCAGGCCGGCGCTGCAGGTGGCGGGGGGGGCGGGGGCGGCCCAGGCTTTGCGCCTGCGAAGAAGGAGGATGCTAAACAAGCCAAGAAAAGTGAGTAGAAATTCTAACCCTCCCCCCTTATTCTAACCCCCTGTCCCATGTGCAAGGGGCCCCCAGAGAGCGGGCTACGGAACTAGATGTGAACCGTGCCAGAGCGGGAGGTGGCCGGAGGCGATGCCCCTCTCTGAGCCGGGCGCCTGGCCTGTGGGAGGGGCCCCTGTGGCTTAGCTTGCACCTCTGCGTGGCAGAGGCTGTCAGGTTTGTCAGTGTTTCACCCAGCTCTGGGCGTGTCCCTCTCTTTAGTGGTTTCCACCCCGGAGCAAAAAGTTGTTCGAGGCAAAGGAGCCAAATCGGGCGCCAAGGAGAAGCGCAGCCTGCCGCCGGAGTTGGAGGTGAGGGAGCCCTGGCCAGCCCCGGGGTACAGGGACTGCTCTACACAGTGTTCCCCGTGCCCTGTTGCCCGGCTCGCAGGGCAATGGGTTAGTGGGGCAGTAGCCTGGCTCTGGGCTCAGATCCAGAGTTGAGTTCCTGATCACTTATGGGGCTGGAGTCTCAATTACAGAGAGAGACCTCGGGCCGGGTCACTGACCTCCCCCCCCCCCGCCCGGCCGGAGCTGCTGTGGTGGCTCTTGGTTCAGTTCCGGAAGGTCGTTCCATTCTACCCCTGCCGTGGGGGAGATACAGTGGGCTTCACTCCTAACCGGCTGCGCATGGTGCAAACAGCTGCCCCGTTCCGCTCCAGAGGTGGCTGACTTGCTCTGGGATAAAAAGATGGGGAACCATTGGCTCAGCATGAAAGCTGGGGATTTTCAAAGGGGCTTGGAGGAGTAAGGAGCCCGCTGCCCAGGGAAAAATCAATGGCATCCCTGCTCCCAGCGCCCTTAGGCGCCTAAGAAGATTCCAGCCAAAATGTCCCATCTCCTGCCTCACGTCAGAACCAGCAGTGGGCTGATCCCCGTCCCGCGCCATCTCCTGGGCAGTGCCAAAGCAGTGGGGCCGCCTGCCGAGCTGCTCTGGGACCTGCTTGAAGGTGAAACGTTTTGTGCCCAGGTGATGGAGCCCACCGAGATCGTGAACCCACTGCTGGAACAGGCCGAGCACCGTGATGGGAAGGTCTTCCTGCCAGGCAACCGCGTGCTCATCAACTTAAACCTCACCTGTACGTCGGCGCGGGGCCCGGGGCTGGCTGGAAACCCGCCATCTCGCCTGGCAGGGCAAGTGCCCCCCCGAGTGGCGCTGGCTCCCCTGGGCCGTCCAGCCGGGCTGGGAGCTGTGGCAATGGGCCGGAGATGCAGCAGCCTCTGCCAGGCTTGTGTCTGTCCTTCTGAGAGGGGCCTGCACCCGGCCCTACCCACAGAGCTCCTTCAGTACCACCCACCCTTCTCCGCTCCCTCCATGCGGCCCAGCCTGGTCACTCACCTTAGTGCCAGGTGGCTCGTGGGCTCCCTCGGGTGGCCCGATCCCCAGCAGAGGCAGGAGACGCTCGTGCTTCTAGAGCCAGATGCCGATCCTCTGCCCCACAGCAGCTGTGTCAGTGGGCACAGGCCCTGCCTGAGGTCCCAGGCAAACCCCTCCCTGGGCCCCAGAGGCGATGAGGTTTAAACTAGCCACTGATCCGCATCTTCCTTCCCCAAGGGAACCAGATCACAGAGCAGGGCCTGAAAGCGTTCCTGGCAGCCATGGAGAGCCAGCAGCAGGCCAGCAAGGCCACGGCTGGGGTCAAGTGGCAGATGGGCCTACTGCGGCTGTCTCTGGGGGTGAGTACCACGCTCCTACATGTGGGGAGCTGTGTCCAGCCCCAGGGCCCTTGTTCATTCACGACCGTGCCCCCGTGTGGGCTGGGTCTTCAGGTAGAGCATCCCCCCCAAGTGGGGGGATGGAGTGGGAGCAGAAGTGAGTCCCCCCCCTTTGCTCACCTACCCCCCTTTCCGCCCTTGCAGAAAAACCGCTTCCCCGCTGAGAGCAAGACCTTTGCCAGGCTCCAGGAGCTGATGCTGCCGCGCGACCCCACCTACAGGCAGCTGCCCAAGGCGCCGGACGAGGAGCTGGCTGCGCCCAGCTAGAGGCTGGAGGGGCGAAAGTGTCCGCTCACTCGAGAGTCCCGCGGCCCTGGAGAGCGCCGGGGCAGCCCCCCCTTGTGTGGGATTTCTGATCCCCTCCGCCTCTGGCCCAGCCCAGCCTGTAACCGTTCCCGCCTGCCATTAAACAGCTTTGACAGCCTGCTCTGGGGTGGGGGGCTGGAGCCCTCTACCCCCACTGGAATTCAGGCTCTTTTTCTACAGCCAGGGCTCCATCCACGCAGGGGCTGTGGCAATGGGGAGGAAGCGCCTACCTGGGCCTCCAGGGTCAGAGGCAGTGACCCCATAACGGCGTGGTCCCAAGAGCGCTGAGCCCCCTCCCCGCCAGGCCACTCGCTAACCTCTCCTCTCCCGCGTTCCCAGGCCGAGGGCCTGCAGGCTGGGGAGAGGGATGAGGGCATGCTGCAGTGCCCACATCAGGGGAGCCGGTGCTGAGAGCAGAAGGGAGCCGGGACGGGCGCCCCCCCAATGTAGACACGGTCCAGTCGACCAGCCCTGAGACATCCCCGTTGGGGGTCAAGGACTGATTTAACGCAGGGCCGATTCCACTCCCAGTAGCAGAGCTGGGCAGGTTCTCTGCTCCCCGGCAGCACAGGGAGTGGCATCGCCCTGGAGAACAGCACCCGGCTATGGACAGACACCCCCCTGGCTGGCAGGACTACCGGCCTGGAGAAGAGGCGGGCTGGGAACAAAGGACCCCGTCTCCCACGCTGCAGTGGGTGAAAGCAGGCCCCCCCCCCCGGTGAAGGATCACACGCACGCCAGCGACGGAAGAATATTTCACTTTTCTTTAAAAAAAAAATCTTTACCAGTAAAGGGAAGAAAATAAAACCGATTATACATCATGGAACAGCAAACAGTCAGTCCTCTAGCTAGTGTGTATATATATATATATATATAAGTATATATATATATATGGGTCCGGGCCGGGGGGCTGATGAGGGGGGCAGGCCCGGGGCGGCAGAGGCGGCCGTGGGGGTGTCCCATTTTCCCAGCCCGCTGCCCGCCCTGGGGATGCAGCCGTTCCAGTGGAGCAATGTGCGTTTTCCAGACAGCCCCTACAGAAAAGCCTCTGCCCAAAGGAGGGGGCAGCGCATCTGCTGGAGGGAGAAAGGCCGGCTAATGCCAACAGCATGTGCTATGGCCCCACAGGGCCGGGGGAGACACAGCGACAGGCCCAGAGGGAACACTTAGTGGTAAGAGGACCGGGCTGCTTGGAATCTCGTTTCCCCAGGCTGGGCAGGGCAGCGGGATAGTGGTAATGGCCGTTGTACTGCAGGGTCACGGGATACAGTCCAGTTATTTACAAGAACCCAATGCACATACATACATATTTATATCTGATCAGCAGAGAGGGCGGGCCGGGACCCACCACATGGGCTCCTCAGCACGGAGAGAAACAAAAAGTGCATTTCGACAGACTATATTCCAGCTCTTGTGTACAGGGACGATGCTTGTCCGTGGGGGGCACAGAGGTGGAGGCAGCGGTGGGGACCCGGCCTGACAGCAGCAGGCAGCATGCAGGGTGACGGGCACTCGCTCTCCAGGCAAAGGGCCACCCAGCCCCATGGCTAGGACGAGACACCGAGATCAGCCGAAACTAACATGCGCTTCCCCGGGGGATTCCAGTTCTGCTCCAAGCTTCCAGTGGCAGCCCCCACGGGTCTGTTTCAACATTCGGGCTGCCCCGCCTCCCAGGTGGCTTTCCCCAGGTTGGGTGGGTCCAGGGGGTGCCCTGCTGATCCTTCTTCCCAGCCATCTTTGGGGAGATCTCCTCCCTGGCAGGGCATTGGTGCAGAGGGGTTCCTCCAAGGGGACTCGGCAGCCTGGAAGAGATGCAGAGAAGCAGGATTGAGAGGGATGGTCAGCAAAGCTCCAGGCTGCCAACCCGCCCCCTGGTGCCTGCAGGGTCGGCAATAGCTTTCCTGGGCTACAGCTGGGGAAACTGAGGTACGGGGGGAAGGGATTTGGCAAGTAGGAGGGCATGGGACCAGGTCATAAGAACGGCCACACTGGGTCAGACCAAAGGTCCATTTAGCCCAGTATCCTGTCTTCCGACAGTGGCCAAGACCAGGTGCCCCAGAGGGAATGAACAGAACAGGGAATCATCAAGTGATCCATCCCCTGTTGTCAATTCTCAGCTTCTGGCAAACAGAGGCTAGGGACACCATCCCTGTCCATCCTGGCTAATAGCCATTGATGGACCTATCTTCCATGAACTTATCTAGTGCTTTTTTGAACCCTGTTATAGTCTTGGCCTTCACAGTCATAGACCTCAATCATATGCACCCTTAGTTTTCTATTCCAACCTGAAAAGTCCCAGTCTTATTAATCTCCCCTCATATGGAAGCTGTTCCATACCCCTAATCATTTTTGTCGCCCTTTTCTGAACCTTTTCCAATTCCAATACATCTTTTTTGAGATGGGGCGACCACATCTGCACGCAGTATTCAAGGTGTGGGCGGACCATGGGTTTATATAGAGGCAATGGGATATTTTCTGTCTTATTCTCTATCCCTTTCTTAATGATTCCCAGCATTCTGTTCGCTTTTTTGACTGACTGCTGCTGCCCATTGGGTGGATGTTTTCAGAGAACTATCCACAGTGACTCCAAGATCTCTTCCTTGAGTGGTAAGAGCTAATTTAGACCCCATCGTTTTATAGGTACAGTTGGGATGATGTTTTCCAATGTGCATTACTTTGCATTTATCAACATTGAATTTCATCTGCCATTTTGTTACCCGGTCACCTGGTTCTGAGAGATCCTTTTGTAGCTCTTCGCAGTCTGCCTGGGACTTAACTATCTTGAGTAGTTTTGTATCATCTGCAATTTTTGCCACCTCACTGTTTACCCCCTTTTTCAGATCATTTATGAATATGTGGAATGGGACTGGTGCCAGAACAGACCCCTGGGGGACACCACTATTTACCCCTCTCCATTCTGAAAACTGACCATTTATTCCTACCCTTTGTTTCTTATCTTTTAACCAGTTACTGACCCATGAGAGAACCTTCCCTCTTATCCCGTGGCAGCTTCCTTTGCGTAAGAGCCTTTGGTGAGGGACGTTGTCAAAGGCTTTCTGAAAATCTAAGTATACTATATCCCCTGGATCCCCCTTGTCCACATGCTTGTTGACCCCCTCAAAGAATTCTAGTACATTCGTGAGGCATGATTTCCCTTTACAAAAACCATGTTGACTCTTCCCCCAACAGATTATGCTCATCTACGTGTCTGACCATTCTGTTCTTTAGTATAGTTTCAACCAGTTTGCCCGGCACTGAAGTCAGGCTTACCGACCTGTAATTGCCGGGGTCACATCTGGAGCCCTTTTTAGAAACTGGCGTCACATTAGCTGTCTGCCAGTCATCTGGTACAGAAGCTGATTTAAATGATAGGTTACAAATTACTTTTAGTAGTTCTGCAATTTCACATTTGAGTTCCTTCAGACCTCTTGGGTGAATCCCATCTGGTCCTGGTGACTTATTGCTGTTTAATTTATCAATTTGTTCCCAAACCTCCTCTAATGATACCTCAATCTGGGACAGTTCCTCAGATCATAGAATCATAGAATCTCAGGGTTGGAAGGGACCTCAGGAGGTCATCTAGTCCAACCCCCTGCTCAAAGCAGGACCAATCCCACACTAAATCCCCAAATGGTCCTCTCAAGGATTGAACTCACAACCCTGAGTTTAGCAGGCCAATGCTCAAACCACTGAGCTATCCCTCCCCCCCAGATCTGTCACTTAAGAAGAATGGCTCAGGTTTGGGAATCTCCACCACATCCTCAGCTATGAAGACCGATGCAAAGAATTCATTTAGTTTCTCCGCAATGGCCTTATTGTCCTTGAGTGCTCCTTTAGCACCTCGATCGTCCAGTGGCCTCACCGGTTGTTTAGCAGGCTTCCTGCTTCTGATGTACTTAACATTTTTTTGCTATTACTTTCTGAGTCTTTGGCTAATTCTTTTTAAAATTCTTTTTTGGCCTTCCTAATTAGATTTTTACACTTCACTTGCCGGAGTGGATGCTCTTTTCTATTTTCCTCACTAGGATTTGATTTCCACTTTTTAAAGGATGCCTTTTTGCCTCTCACTGCTTCTCTTACTTTGTTGTTTAGCCACGGTGGCTCTTTTTTGCTTCTCTTGTTTTTTAATTTGGGGGATACATTTAAGTTGAGCCTCGATTATGGTGTCTTTGAAAAGTTTCCACGCAGCTTGCAGGGATTTCACTCTAGTCTCTGGACCTTTTCATTTCTGTTTCACTGACCGCCTCGTTTTTGTGTAGTTCCCTTTCTGAAATGAAATGCTCCAGTGCTGGGCTGTTGTGGTGTTTTCCCCGCCACAGGGATGTTACATTTCATTAGATTATGGTCACTGTTACCAAAAGGTCCAGCTATATTCACGTCTTGGACCAGATCCTGTGCTCCACTTAGGACTAAATCAAGAACTGCCTCTCCCCTTGCGGGTTCTAGACTAGCTGCTCCAAGAAGCAGCCATTTAAGGTGTCAAGAAACTTTAGCTCTGCATCCCTTCCCGAGGTGACATGTATCCAGTCACTATGGGGAGAGTTGAAATCCCCCATTGTTACTGAGTTTTTTATGTTAATAGCCTCTCTAATCTCCCTGAGCATTTCACAGTCACTAGCACCGTCCTGGTCAGGCGGCCGGTAATATATCCCTACTGCTATTCGAGCATGGAATTACTAGCCATAGATATTCGATGGGACAGTTTGGGTCATTTAAGATTTTTACTTCATTTGATTCTACGCTTTCTTTCACATCTAGTGCCACTCCCCCACCAGCACGACCTGTTCTGTCCTTCCAATATGTTGTGTCCCCTGGCATTACAATGTCCCATTGATTATCCTCATTCCACCGAGTGTCTGTGATGCCTGTTCTATCAATCTCCTCCTCTAACACGAGGCACTTTCGTTCACCCATCTAGCATTTGCTGGGTCCCGGCTCTGCAGCTGGTCCCCAGGAAAGTGAGTGGCCCAGAACCAAGCGAGGGGAAGCACGGCTATGGCAAACAGGCACAGTGGGGGGCAGCTCCAGGTCCGGGCAAGGGGTTCAGGGTGCGTTCAACGGGGCTTGCGAGGTCCCTTCCGCTTACCGGGCTCGCTGGCTGCCAGGGCCCGCAGCCTCGCTGGGCAGGGGAGGGGCAGCGATCGCTGGCAGGGCTAGGCGGGCATTCCGGCCACCGGCCCATCTCCAGCGTGGTGACCCCCACCGGGGTGGTCTCAGCCGACGAACCTCTTCCCAGAGACCGCAGCAACTCGCGATGGGCCATCTCCATGTCCTGAAGGAGCCAAGCGGGAGAGAAACAAGCCGGTGGGAACGGGGGGGGCCCCAGCCTGACTCGGTGTCAGACCTCTGCACATCCCAGGTGCACACCAGCCCTGTCTCACCTGGCCCCCCACCGGCTCCTTGCTTGGCCAAAGCCCCTTGCACTGCCCAGCGCTGTGTAACAGGGCCTTGGTGCCCTCGCCACTCTGCGCTCCAGCGGGGTGTTACCCTGCCTGGGTCTGGCTCCCCGCCCTGTGGCACCAGATGCAGCTTCTCTTCCCAGCTCCCGTCACCTGGCAGAGCCAGTCCCGGCCCTCAATGGAAAGGATCTTAGTCCCCCCCGATCCGCCCCCTATGACAGCTCCCCACCTCCCCCTCACCTTTAGCCTGGTGAGTTTCAGCGTGAGCTGTTCTATCGTCCGGAAGATCATGTCAACGTCCTGGATCACCAGGCTGGGGGCGGGCGGCTCGGGGGGTGGAGCCCCATCCAGGCTGCCGGGGCCCGGTGTGCTGTCCTGGTCGTGCTGCTGGGAGCCGAGGGTGAGGCGGGGCGCGCTGGGGGACTGCTCCACGGGGCTCGCTGGCGGCTTGGGGGCGGGGGGCTCGGTGGAGGACTCTGCGGGGCCGGCGGGCATGCTGACGTAGAAGTAATTCCCTGCGTTACAGGGGAAGGGGTAGAAAAGCTGCTTAGCCTGTGAGTCCAGTACCGAGGGGACTCTGAGCTCCCTGTAGAAACCTACAGGGCCGATATGTTCAAAATCAGGCCCTGGTTCAAAGCCCACTGACATCACTGAGACCTCCTCGTTAGCCCTGTCTGCTTTCGGTTCTTAAGGCAACGTTTTCAAAAGTCCCAAGTCCTGGTTTCAAAACAGACGGTGCCTAAACCGGGAGGCAGCGTGGCCTAGTGTATAGAGCCCTGGACTGGAACTCAAGAGTTCTAACCCCAGCTCTGCCATGGGCCTGCTGGGTGACCCCGGGGCGAGTCACCTCATGGCCGTGTGCCTCAGTTTGCCCATCTGCCAAATGGGGATAAAGATACCGACCTCCCTGGTGAAGCGTTTGGAGATCTATGCCTGAAAAATGCTGGGGAAGAGGAGGCAACAGTTAATTCAGGTGATTAGTTATTAAGAACCTTAACCAGCCTCGAAAGGCAGTGGGGCTGAGGCCGAGTCGGGCGCTTCTGAAAATTCCACCCTTCGACGAGTGCCCTGATGTGCCAGAGGGGGTATGCACCCCCCCCTCCGCCCAGCAGCGCTGCAAAAGCAACCCCCTGATCCGTTACTAGCTCACTGTTGATTTAGGTGCGTCACTTTCCGCACCCAGGTTTGAAAAATTCAGCCAGGATTCAGGTAGCGAATCCAGCTCCCTCTCCCTCTCTGCATCCAGATTCACGGAGTCCCAGGCCAGAGGGGACCATTGTGACCACCTGCATAGCCAGGCCAGAGACCCGCCCCCAAATAATGCCCCAGAGCAGAGCTTTTAGAAGAACCTCCCATCCCTGATTCAAAAACGGTCAATGACGGGGAATCCACCACCACCCTCGGCCAATTGCTCCAGCTGCTAAAAACTGACGCCTTGTTTCCAATCTGAATTTGTCTCGCTTCAACTTCCGGCCACTGGCTCATGTCAGACCCCTCTCTGCGGAGCCCATTATTAAATATTCATTCCCTGTGTAGGTGCCTGTAGACGCCATCAAGTCTCCTCTTAACCTTCTCCTTGTTCAGCCAAACTGAGCCACGTCAAGGATTAAAGAGCGCAGGGCCAAGAACTGATCCCCTGCCTCCTCTCTTACGCCCTCTGCGATTCCCTTTTCTAGCCTTTCTCGGGGCCCAAGAGGAAAAAGGGTTTGTTTTTTTCTTTACCATCTACATTAGCTCCGCCTCCTTCATGCAACTCAGTTTCTGATTGGCTGTTGTCTGCCAAGGGCGTGGCATCCTTAGTGCCCTCCACCTCAGCTGTGCAGAGACACCAGGGAAAAGAGCAGGGAGGGAAGAAGAGAAAATGTCGAGGGGGGGGGGGAGAGAGGGGGAGAGAGAAATTGATTGATTGAAGGACTCAGAACCCAATCACCAGCTGTGCCCAGACAGAGAGAGGAGAGGGTTTGCAGCAGCCCAAGGGTGGCAGATCTCATGCAAATCACCAGGCGGGCAGGGGTTTAGTGACAGAAGGAGAGCGGCTGCCCTAGGACCCAGTCACTGACACGACTGGTTTCACAGCCCCCGGGCCCCAGGAGACGGGGCCGGACGGCACCCCCGGGATCACGGCTGGGGCCTCCAGGGTCAGATGGATGCTGTAATCAATGGCGCATCCGAGCGGTCAGGAGCTGGCGCGTACCCCCAGGGCTCTCTCACTTACCAGCCCTTCGCCGAACACTCCTCTGGACAGAGGGGAAGGGAACCACTGCCCTCGGCTGGGGGACAGGAGCCCGCTGGAGTCCACGCGGCTTTGACCCAGCAGATGGCCATGCAAAGCGGCTGCTGTCCTGGTAGCCAAACTCCACGGAGAAGGGACCCGGGGGAAACAGCAGGGAACAGCCCTTGAAGCCTGGAGAGGAGCTACCCCCCCCGGAGGTCCCACCTTCCCCCTACCTTTCCGGACCACTTTGTAGCCGCCCTGCCCCTCCGCAGCTGGGGGTCTCTCCACTTCCTGGGACACCTCCCGACCGCCGTCCGAACTCCTGCCCGGCTCCTCCATGTCCCCCGCGCTCGGCCGACTTTCTGTCTCCGTCTCCGTCCTGCCGCTGGGCGAGTGGCCCGGGAGACCAGCCGTGTCCGTGGTGGGGCCGCCCTGCCCTGAGGGCTCCATCGACTGCTCTTGGCAGCCTGAGTCCTGGCTGGACAGCACCGAGTCCCAGGGCTGCGCGGCTCCTCCAGCCACCGAGGGCGTGGGGGTCAGGTCGTCCTCAGGCTCCGGGTCCCGGCAGGGCAGCAGGCTGCGCAGGATTAGATGCCGCAGGTTCTCCACTAGGAGGGGGAGAGAAGACGAGCAGGTTGGGCCGGGCCCTGGCAGGGAATCCCCCACCCGGAGGGCTGGATGCAGGCTGGCTTCGGCGCCGACGCATGCACCTCCTCGCTCAGCCAGAGGGGGCGCTGCAGAGCCCCGCCAGGCGCTCCCCCCAACGGGAACCAAGAGCCTGGTCTGATTCTAGATCTCCCAGGGCACCCGCGGAAGGGGCGTGTCTGGACACAGCTGGCCCGATGGGGTACGAGAGCACCACGGGGCAGAGAAACCCTCCTGGGCTCCAAGCAACCTTCTCACCACAGCTTTCGGGGGGGGAGCACCGAAGAGAAGCCGCTACCTCCTCTCTCCCCAGGGATGGGCCCCCATGGGCAGCATCACGACCCAGCCTTCACTCACCGTCCTCCAGGGCTGATTCGGCCAGTCCCTCTGTCAACACAAGTCCCGGGAGGGACAGGTGCATGCTGGACCCCGGGGCCTCGGACGCTCCAGCTTCATCTAACACCGCAGAGCTCTGTGCCGGCACAGGGGCAGCCGGCGCCTCCTCCCCCTCTTCCTCCTCCTCGCTGCCTTCGGCCTCCGGCTCCTCCGCCAGCACCGGATGCTTCCCCTTGCCCAGGAAGTCGGTGGGATTGTCATCCGCTGGGCAGGGGCGAGAGATCACAGAGGGGCGTTTGGATTAGGCAGCGGCGGAGGGCCAGGCCCAGAAAGGACGGGGGTGGGGGGAGTGGCTGGGGGCTGGCCCCCAGCCCGTCACAAGGAGATCAGAGCGAGCCGAGTGTGCAGCGGGAACTGGGATCCTGGAGTGGGGCCGGTCAGACACCTAGATCCTCGCACAGGAGGTTCCCATTATCACCCCACATGCTCCCCTTGCGCCACCTCCATATGGGCTGCTGCTCCGGGCCCCACAGCAGGCGGCTGGAAGCTGCTGGCTGTCAGAGCCCCCTGGCAGAGGGAGTGGGGGGCGCCCCAGCTGGGAGGGGAGCTCACCTGAAGAGACATCGTCCACCTCCGCCCCGGAGCTGTCGGCTTGGGAGAGGATCGGGGAGACGTCGGGGTCTTGCAGCACCAGGCTGGCGGGGACAAGAGCCGAGTTAGATGGGCAGTGGCAGGGCACGCCGAGCAGCCGGGGGCCAAAGCGGGACCATGGAGCAAGGCTGACTTGGCTAGAGGCTTCACTCCACCCACAGGATCGGGGCCTTAATTACCCACGGCTCTGAGCCACCAGCCGCTCTAGCAGCAGGGAGGGACTCGGCCCTGCAGAGGCTGGTGCCTCCAGACACGTGGCCCCTGGGCTGGTCTCCCAGGGCAGCCGCCCAGCCTCAGGGGGAATCGAACCTGGGTCCCTCTAGATCTAAAAGGCAGCGTGAGATTCGCAGGGCTCTATTCCTGGCCTGTGAGCCAGCCTAGGGCTGGGGTTGAGTCTGATCTGTGCCCGGCTCAGCCAGGGCAGGCCTTGGAGAGAAATCCCCAAGTGCTCCGAGACCTGGCCCCACCTCCACCCCCTTCCCTGCTGCCCCCCAGCCTGAGCTTCCAGGCCAGACCCCAGGGCCCAGCCAGGGGTCCTGCTGTGGCTGTTGAAAGGCCTCGCGGCCAGGATGTCCCCATTTCCCTCCCTCCCTCCCTGCCCCGCCCCCCCGGCCGCTGCAGCAAGGCCCCTGGTGTGGCGCTGCTCACCTGGACGGTGCCGGCCTGTGGATGGGCAGCTCCCGGGCCCTGCGTTTGGGGGGGGAGGTGGCGTTCCTCATGGCACTCTGCACCGCCTCCTCCAGCAGCTCCATCCACCTGCCAGGCCGAGGAGAGGGGGCGTTACGGCCCCAGCACCCACCAGCTGCTGCCTGCTCGGAGACCAGACCCACCCCCCACAGAGCTCCACCCCCTCACACAGACGGGACTGCACCAAGGGGAGGGCACCCTAACCCCTAGCTCTGCCAGTGCCCCTCACTCCCGACCCACAGCCCCCTGCTAGTCCAGCCCCAGAACATGCTAGTTACCTTGGTGCGTGGACTCCTCTCATCCCCCCAATGCCCCAAGGAACGTCCCACAGCCCCTCCCTCTCCACCCGTCGTTACACCCTTACGTGTTTTTCTCCGAGGGCGTCAGCGCTACCAGCTCGTAGATCTGGGGCCCCAGCTCCGAGGTGCAGATGATGAAGAGCGCTCGTTTGTCTGCACAGAGGAGAGATGGGACGCTACAGGAAACGTTCGGGCACCACAGCCTACAAGGCTCTGCTTCGGAGCTGTTCCCATGCCCACGCCCCCACCGGGGGGGAGACGAGATTCCCCCTCCCCACCGATGCCCGCGCCAGCCGCCCGCCTGGGCAGAGCACCCCCGGGCCTCTCCCGCTTGCTACCTGTGGCCACGGAGCGGATGAGCATGGAGTTGAGCTTCAGGACGGGGCTGAAGGTCTGCTTGGTGTCCGAGGAGCCCAGCGCCGTCTTGCTGTGAAATTTCAGCACCAGCTTCTCGTCCTGCTTCTGCAGCAGCACCAGGAGGTCCTCCAGCAGCAGCACGTGCAGATCTGCACAGGCCGGACGCAGACCCGGTCACCCAGCTCCTCTGGTTCCCCCTCTACGGTGACGCGGGAGCCAGGCTGCCCCAGGGTGACCCGTCTGGCGTGAGCACTAAGGGACAGGCCAGATCCGCCCCTAGGCGGGAATTTGCAAACCTTTGGCCCCAGACTCTCGCTGGAAGTCAAAAGAACTCAGGCGCCTAACTCCCATGGGCTCCATTCCCCAGCCCAGCCTCAGAGAACAGGGACTAACCGGCTCCTCAGCGTCCTCTGCAGGGCTGATGGGGAGCGAGCAACACACAGGCCTGAAGACAAGTCCCCCCCACCTTAGATCCCCACGCTCTGTCCTGCCCTGCTGCGTCGCCCCACCCCCGGCTCTCTGGGGGCCAGTCGAGAAGGCGGAAAGCTGACCCCTGCTGGGGAAGAATGGTGTGATCGGGGATCCCTCTAGTGGAGGATCCCCAGAGGATAAAAGCCAGGCGTGGGTGGGTCAGCTTTTGTGGCCTGCATCATGCGGGAAGTCAGACTAGATGATCATCATGGTCCCTTCTGACCTTAAAGTCTATGAGTCTATGAGTTCCCCCCTGCAGCTCCTTGGAGACCAGGGTCCTGGGGGGCTCTCGGGGGTGGGGGTTTTGGACTGAAGGCAGAGGGACCTGTCAGCCACGGGCCCTGCTGGAAGGTACGTACCCAACGTCTTCTCCTTGCTGATGCGCCAGCTCAAAGCCCCCTCGTGGATCATGCGCCGGGAGGTGAGGTCGAGGTTCTGGGCACAGTGGGGAAGGCACGGTTAGTTGCTGGCTCTCCCTGGCTGGGGATGCAGGGAAATCAGGACAGAGTCCTCCCCTCCCTCGCTTCCAGCCGGGCGGTACCTTGAACTCGGCCGCCAGTGGGTTGCTGGTCCGCTCCAGAGACGTGGCATCCAGGCGCTTCTGGTAGGCCTCCAGCCGGTGCCGGTTCTCCGCCCGCTTCACCGCCTCGTTCACGTACCTGAGGATCTCCCGGCACTGGTCACGGGCGCGGCACAGCTTCTTGTGCTCCGGGGTCCCGCCTGCGGGCGGACAGAGGGCGTCAGGGGGCGAGGCCGTGCTGGAAGTTCTGGTCTCTGTCTCACACCGGGGAGAAACGCCCTGGATTCGAGGGCAGTGGTGCCTCACCTAACGGAGTGGGCGCAGGCCAGTTGGGCTTCCCGTTCTGGGGGAGACGGCTACGGCAATGGCCGTGTCGGCTCCCGGGCGCCCACCTAGCCCCGCCCTGGGCCGAAGCCCATCTGGGCCACGAGGAAGGGCTGCTGCTGAGTTTCTTGGGCTAAAGCCCCCTGCCTGCCTGGCGGCCATCAGCAAAGCAGGCTCCCCCCACTGCCCTGCCCCGTGGAGTGCCCCCTGCAGGGAGAAGAGCCACAGCCCAGCCCCGCTCGGCCCCTCTGCTGGGCGTGGAGGGGACGTGGCCGCGCTGTCAGCCCCCCCAGTACCGTCCGTGTGCTTGAGGATGTTCTCCAGCAGCAGCGGGTACTTGGTCAGGCGCTGCATCTCGGAGATGATCAGGTCCTTGAGCTGCAGGCGTCGGCACTGCGGGTTGCTCTCGGCTTCCTGGGATGGGGGGAGATGGAGGGAGAGACAGCGCTGCAGCCACCGCGTGGGGGGGACCAGTGGTGAGCTGGAGCCGGTTCCCACCGGTTCGCAGGAACCGGTCGTTAAATTTAGAAGCCCTTTTAGAACCGGGAGAACCGGTTCTAAAAGGGCTTCTAAATTTAACAAAAGCTCTGGCAGCTGTCCACCCCGCCCCCGGCCCCAGCTCACTTCCCCCTCCTCCCCGAACACTCCCGCTCTGCCCCCCTTCTCCTCCCGCTCCCCCCTGCTTCCCGTGAATCAGCTGTTCGCGGGAAGCCTGAAACAAGCAGCAGGAAGGTAAGCTGGGGCGGGGGCGCGAGGAGGGCTCCAGGGAGGCGCGGCGCAGCCCAGTCCGGCCTCGGCTGAGCGGCTCCCTCCGGCCTGGCCCCGGCCGAGTGCCCCCGGCTCCGGCCGAGCGCCCCTGGCTCCAGCCCCAGCGGCTCCAGGCAGCGCGGTAAGGGGGCAGGGAGCAGGGAGGAGGTGTTGGAAGAGGGCAGGGGAGTTCGGGGGGTTGTGGGGGGGGTGGATAGGGGTCGGGGCAGTCAGAGGGCAGGGAACAGGGGGATTGAATGGGGGCAAGGGTCCCGGGGGGGCAGTCAGGAAGGAGCAGGGGTTGGATGGGGCAGTGGGGGGCAGTCGGAGACAGAGAGAAGGGGTGGTTGGATGGGGCAGGGGTCCCGGGGGGCCATCAGGAATAAGAGGAGGGGTTGGATGGGGTGGCAGGGGGCAGTCAGGGGACAGGGAAGGGGGGGGATGGGGCAGGAGTCCCGGGGGGGGGCACGACCCCCTCGTGGGGTGAGGAGGAGGGAACCTGTTGTTACTAGTTTGGCAGCTCATCCCTGGGGGGGACACAAGACTGGGCAGAAGCCCAGAGTCCCGGCCGGGGGAGAAGAGGGCAGCGGAGCTCGTGGTACCTGCATGAAGATCTGGAAGCGGGTCTCCTTGCGCTGCTTGGTTTTGATCAGCTCCAGGGCGATGGACTGGTACGAGCAGAAATCGGCCGCCACCTGCTGGATTTCCTCCCGCGCCGGCCCGTCGAACTGGGGGCGGGGAAAGACAAAGGAGCAGAGCTGAGCTGTCAGCCCCTCAGCACCGCCCAGGACCCCCTAGCCCCAAAGACCCAGGGGCCTAGGATCTTGTCTCTGAACCCGCTAAGTTCTTGGCCTCAGCACCATCCAGTGGCAGGCAGTTCCACAGGCTAATCACATAGCAAGTGAAAAAGTCTTTCCTTTTATCGGTTTTGAATGTGCCGTCTGTTCATTTCACTGCGCAGCCCCTTGGCCTTCTGCGCCAGGAGACAGGGAGACCCCCCCCCACACACACACACACCATCCTGGTAGCTCTCCCAGCCCTACCCGAGAAAGCATGAGATCCCCGATCTCCTTGATGATTGGTCCTTCTTCTCGGAGCTTCTTCATGGATTCAGACAGAGAATCTGAACAAGGACGGGAAGGGGAAACGGGGATAAGTGAAGGGGGCGTGAGGGAAAGGAGGAAGAAATTAAATACGTCCTCTTCTAACGAAGAGGGGCAGCACCCCCCTGCCCAGGAGATCTGCTGACCTACATTCCACATAGTCCATTCCTACATTTCAGATGTAACCGACCGCCATGCACCCGACATCGTCCGGCCAGCCTCTCTCGTCACGTCCCTGTGAGCGCCTCACCCCGAAATCCTTTCCAACAGCCCCTCCGGTGCAGGTCTCCTACGCTCAGCCAGCAGCGGATACCCCTGGGAGCAGTGCCCATTCCTGGAGCGAGCTGCCTCCATTCTCAGGCACCCAATGACAGAGAGGCATGGCCAGGCCTGCACAGGCCCGTCTCAGTCATTTACTACCCAGAGGCTGCAGCTACCCTGGCTTGTACGTTTAACGTGTCTGCCCCAGACAGCCACACGCAGCCTGACTATTGTCTGGAACTGGAGCCAGCCTGGACAGGTGACCGTAGAGACAACAGGGAGCGTTTACACAGCCAGCAGAAGAGAGTCCGAGGGGCCCAGTGCTAAAACTGGCCACGTCGACGTCAGGCTCTGAAGCCTGTGGCTGTTTGTAGCCCCGCGAGCCCGAAGAGCCGTGTAGACGCCCCTCTAGAGTCACAGAGTTCAAGGCCAGAAGAGACCAGCACAGCAGTTAGTCTGACCGCCTGTCGATCACCGCACACCAGGCCAGCAAACAGACGGAGACCCAAGCCTTACAGCCCCCAAGGGGAGACAACGCTGAATTCCCTTCGGGACCAGCCGCCGGCAGTGACAGACGCATTAACGTGGGACACTTGGGATTCAAATCGCTGTTCTGGGCGCAAACTCCAAGGGGCGGCAGCAGGCCGCGCTGAGTGGGCCCAGGGGCTGGGCCTTAAAGAGACAGGCACCGGGGATTTCTAGCCCTAGGGGGTGAAGGAGACCCCAGGGAATTCAGTGGCTTACTGTGGATGTCGATCAGGTCCGGGAGGTTGGGGAAGAGCAGCCCCAGCTCCTCCCGCGACAGCAAGTTCTCCCTCTTCATCCGCTGGTAGAAGAGGACGTCCAGGACTCGGAGGATCCGCAGGTGAGACGCCTCCGTGGCAAAGAGCTCTGCCCCCAGGCGGGAGAGAGGGAGGGGTTCAGAGACAGCCCGGCTCTCAGCTCCCCCACCCTGCCAAGGTAGCTTGGGCCCCACACTTCAAACAAAGCCACCAAATGTACCAGCTCTGTCCTTCCCCAGATCTACCCCGGCACCCGCGCCTGCCATTGCCACCAGGGATCGGTCCCTCCCACGGGGGTGCTGTCACCCCGGCCCCCAGGGAAGAGGAGCAGCAGGATTCCTCACCGTTGATCACCTCCTGGCGGTCGATCTCCCTGTGGGTCAGGTAAGCCATGACCTCCCGGCCGACCGTGTGCTGCCAGTTCTGAGAGTCTGGTTCCGGCTCCAGGTCCGACAGCTGGCCCAGGTCATCCTCCAGCAGGTGGGGGAGGAAGGAGTCGGTGCCGAAGCCCAGATTGGGGGACTCGATGCTCCTGGGAGGATATTGGGGGGGCGGGGCGGAGGTTACTCCCTGCAGCTGTGCATGGACCCCATGTGGTGCCCCTACCCCACTCCCAACCCAGCTGACGTGCAGCAGGCTAGAACCTGGGACCGTCACCCCGAAGAGCATAAACCTCTAATGCTTGAGCTAAAGGGTAAAGCCCCCTAGCGGGCACTGCTAGAAGACTCCTTAACCTCTTACATGACCCAGCCACTGGGGGCGGGGGGACAGAGGGGGCCACAGACTCGCCTTCACCCCCAAACCCTAACGCGTAGGGTCCTTTGGAAGGCAGACACAGGCAGGAGAACTGGCTCAAACTGGGGTGTTTCAGGGGATTCCAGGAGCTTGGCCGTACCACGAAACCCAACTCCCCCCACCCCGCCGCTGGAGCACGCAGAGCTCGGGGTCACTCACCTGCGCCCCATCTTGGGCGTGTAGGGAGGAGTGGGGTTTTCCAGGGACCTGGGGACGCAATTGAAAACTGCACTCAATCCCTGAGCAATGGTATCCCGGAGACCTTTGCTCTCCCTCCCTGCCGCGTCTGAGCTCCCGGCTCCGCATTTACTACACGCCCCCGAAGCTGCCAAGAGTGACTGGCTGGGATTTCTGGGGGGATGGGGTGGGGGGGTTGGCTGCACAATTCCCCAGGCTCCTCTGAAAATCACAGGCTCAAAGACAGCCTGGGGAGCAAACTTCGGCAGGATCGGGGCCTTCAAGTGAGAGTCCCTGGGGGTGGAACCTGGCCTCTGTCAACCAGGTAAAAAACTTTCCGAAGAGCTTGTGGGTGTGTGTGGAAGGGGGTTCCTCAGGACCAGCTGACAGTGCTGGGGGACGTGGTGTGTGTGTGGGGGTTCAGCCACTTTTGAAAATAGGATCTAGAGCCCTAAATCTCTCCGGGAGCTTCCCCCTCTCCATGGCTGGATAAACTCCACGACGGAACCCCGGCTGGCTCACCTGCCTCCCCACCCACCCACCGGGCCCTCAGCACCTCCTTGGGCGGCTGGCCTTTCTCGCCCCACGCTCGATTAAAACAGCCTGCTTGGTTTTCAGACCCGAGCGGGGACGCTTCTGGCTGGGAGCTCATGAGAGTTCAGCTCCCAAATCCGACTGGAAATCGGGCCCGTCTGAAACCTCCAATAGAAACAGACGAGCGGCACCGTCCGGAGGCCTTCGTCCCCCTGCCCGCGGGCTCGGGGCTTTGGGCTCTGACCTCGTGGACAGGCTGGATGCCGAAGACGACGCCGACTGGTGAAGCCGCGTGGCCTCTGCTGCGGCGTCCATGTCCACGTCGCTCCGGGACCGTGGCACGTTCTCTGCCTTGCGCGATTTCTTCATCTCCTCCCGCCCTTTCAGGCTCTCCGACCGGCCCAGCTTGACCTCTGACCTGGAACTGCACGGGGGAGCGGGGTTGGCGAGATGCAAGGAACTGCTGGATTTCGCGCAGGCCGGAAGAGCTGAGAACGCATGTGCGTGCGGGGAAGCAAGCTAGAACCCGTCTCATCAATCTAGAACCCCAGGCCCAGCAGGGAGCTAGAACCCATCTCATTAA